CATCGCCCGCCATCGCGCCACGGCGGGCGATGCGGGGCACAGGTGCTACGGTCGACCGCAAAACGAGAACAACTCGCGCAAAGCTGCTTGCGCATCGATTTATATCCCCCGACCCTTCTATCTTCATCCTGACGTCTCTCTACTCGTCTCTTCAGGGTCCGCTTTCGACGTAGCCGAAAATCCGACTTTCGAACACGCACGTCGGTCCCGTCTGATGAGGACGAATCGCGCGCTGCTCTATCGGATATGTATTCAAAGTACAATAGGAACGGTCGGCTTCATATTTTGTCATATTCCAAAGGAAAATATTTTCCCCGACGTATAAAATAACGATGGTAAAGATACAAAATAGAAGATAAAATAACGATGGTAAAGATACAAAATAGAAGATAAAAGACAACCTAGATGATGTATAATACGTAAATAGTAGTATAACAATGTAAGTATAATAATAGTAGTATAATAATGTAAATGTATAATAATGTAAGCAAAAATACCCATGTAAATGAATATATATGAATAATTTGTTAATGTTACAACAGGTGTACGAAATTAAGAAAAATCGATAATAGTTTGAAAGCAGTTGAATTATTTCTACACAATTATCGAATGATATTCATTTTTAATTTCTTGTGTTTGTAAATCACACTGTGTCATTTAATTTTCAAATTCTGTGAATTTACATTCATAAAATTTTAGAATAAAGAGAAATGTTCGCTTTACATATGTTATTGTCATTCTTCATATTCTTAAATTAAGTTATTGCATTATTTCTAATTTTCATGTTTCTAATTTTCCTCAAACATTTATTGCATTATCGGTTTCAAGAACATACATGTATGCAATGTGTAAATGTAGATAGGTCCATGTACTTCGGTTTGCTGAATTCAAATGAGAATATAAATCAACAATTTCTACAAGTTCTAGCATAGGCTAGAATTTCTCGAGCAAAGTTTGAACATCATCCATTAATTTCTAGTACTCATGCAGTTTATTAAAAAACAAAATGAATTTAATTCAATAGTATATATGAGTTTATATAATTATTAAATTAAAATGAGTTTTTGTTAATAAACTGTGTAATTTTTTTAATAAAGTAAATTGACTGGAAAATCTGAAAATAATGAACGGTGTATCTAAACTTTTACCTTACTCGGTGAAAAGCTATATATCAGTCTCAAATTTATTAAAATAAAAATAAATATTACATTTTGTCATTTTAAATAATTCTATTTAAAATTTTTAATTGTTAAACTTTTAAATTAATTTATATAAAATTATATAAAAATATTATAATATAATATTTATAATGTCATATAATATTTATATTATATATTATATGTAAT